GAAAAAATACCTGGCTTTGTCAGATTTATTAAGAGACAGTAATTCCCTCTTCGATGGGGCATGCAAATGTGGTCACAATCAATTTGAAGCTTGAACGCTTGAAGAAAGAAATTGCTCAAGGGGACCAATAACTGTCAAGATGTCAATTCAAGTTTTTATTAAGACTTTAGTTAGTTCAGAGTGAAATGGCATGAAATTGTTGACTAGAAGACGATTGTGAATTGTAGGTGTACCTAGGGATTGAAATACCTTGAGACAAAAGGCTTCAGCTTCTACAGATTGTTTCAATCTCTAATTAGGGAGGGATTGACTTTTGTTGCAAAGAAATACATAGCCACCTAAAGTTGGCTTAACAGTTTTAGGAACCATTTCACCCTAAACAATGTGCCGTTTCTGCAGATGAAGAATTTCTGTTTTAGTAAGAGAAAAATCACTGAAGAACATGGATATCTTCTACCAGAATAATTGAAAATATGATGACAAGATTGGTCTATCTGGGGGGAAAGTACTCAGCACTTAGTCTAGAATCATTAAGTCAACACCTGGGTTCAGAGCAGCTCACAACTGGCATTATATTGTTTTTTTGGGCAATGCCACTAATAATTGAAAGAATCTTTGTTTGATATAGCTACAAAATTCTGCCTGGAACCCAGGAACCACAGTCTGTTGGTTGTATTCTGAAAACCTAATATGAAAGTTTAGGTTGTGGCCTCATTATTTCTGGATATCAAGTACTCCAGTCCTATCCCCTTGTGAACAAGATATAATTTTCTTTTTTCTAAGCTATGTAACTATTTCTAATATGACTGAGTATTGATAGGTCTTTATCATTGCAGACTGTGATTATGATAAATAGGTAGTAGATAAAATTGACCTCAAAAGAGTCAATTAATGTTGTCAGAATCTATGGAAAGAATATACAAATGATTTTAGAGCTTTCATCTTGATGATCGAAATGCATATGGTTGGCCAAACAATTAGGTGGTACGTAAATTGAGGGATTAATCAAAGGCCAGAGAAAAGTGTTGACTAACACAGAAGAGATGACAAAAATTTCCATAAAAGATGAATATAATGACCATGAACCGGAAGAATCAGCATATTAGAATATTCATTAATCTGTCACTGAAAAACTGAATTTACCTCTTGATTTAGTTAGCATTAAAAACATTTCTGAAATTGATTCTGAAAAGAAATCTCTTGAAATTCATCAAATTAGTATTGCCTCCCTTACCTCAGACACTGTTTCCTATTTCGATTTGTTCTCTTACAGCCTGAAAGTATATGCATAAGGTACTAAGGAAATACATTCTGCATTCTGAAGCATAACATAGTCCAGTGAAAAACGTATTCGAGGTCCAAGTTATCACATAACTTTCTGAACAACCCTGATTCTTAATTAAAGCTTAAGACATCTTGGTGAGTGGGAGGTGAGGTACCTATTGTATATTTGGGTTTTAACTCTATGGAGATTATTACAGATTGAGATAGAGGGAAACTGGATTCATTAAATGGGGGGAAGAAATAATTTAGCAGCAACAGAGACCACATACTATTTTAACTCCAGAGTTTTATACTTCAGGGAACTTGCATTTTGATTATTATTCCTGAGAAATTACTTACAGAACTTACTTTATCTTTAGGGCATAATATCTGTGTGTCAAAGCACAAAAATATATAGGTAGGGAAACTTTAGATTCGTATCAGTAGTAGTAGAAGCAGCAGTAGCAACAACTTTCCTAGTATTACTGCTAATACTGGTTTTGACTACTTTTTAGACATTTTATGTACATCATCGCAATCGTGACACCACCACTGTGAGGCAGATACTGAAATTTTCATATTTCAAACAAGGAAACTCTACTTTAGGCAGTATAGATAACTTGCTTAAGTTCACAAAGATTGATAGCTGGTGCGGGGGTTCTAATCCAGGTGGAGTGATTTCAGAAATCAGTTTTCTTGACCACACCCCTTGTACTGTCTCGCAGAGTGTTACTTTTATTTTTTTACTACTTCAGGTGATTCAGATAATTGATAATTCAAAAGCTAAATACAGTGAAATGATTTAATTTCATTAGGCAACGGATTAAAGGCCTTTTGTTGCCATATTAATTTTGGCAGAGTTGTTAGTAAGTCAGCAAAGTAAAAATTTGACATCATTGAAAAACCTCAATCCAACTGAGATCTGAGATAAACCCAAATCACTGTTTGCATCATTTAAAGTCTCATATGTAATATCTTTAAAATGAATATAATTGAATATGGTGAGAAAATATTTTTGTTGAAGTGGGCAGAGTTGAGGCTACTTTCAGTTGAAGGTGTGGAGTTATGTCTAAATAAACTATTTTATGTCCTTAATATCTTCATCAAGCCTTTTAAAATGGCTGAAAATATAATAACTGAAAGAAGCAAATGATACTATTTCAACAGGGTGGCTTTAATTTGAACAAGAATGCCTCTGTCTTTCTAAGAACTCTGCTATGTTATTAAGATTTGATGAACCCTGTCTTTAAACTCGAGAATTTTTCCTATTGGAGTGCGTCAGAATCTCTTAGATGCTCTTTAAGCTGTCATTGTCTTAGATGTGAGATTATGACGGATGTAGCACCAGGCTGAGGACTAGTAAACTTGGATTCTAGTCCTAAATATATCAGAATTTGGCTGTCTGCACTTGTGTAAGCTCTTTAACTTTTCTAGGTGCTTAATATTCTCATCTGTAAAACGAATTTGAATAGATAATTTGAATACAGTTTTCTTTCCATTCTGTGATGTTTAAAATACATTGTACAATGCTGGATTCTTTGATGCTGCATTTAAAAAAAAAATGTACTTACCAAAGATCATGCTCATGCATTAGGACTGCAGGGCATTTGTCATTTCAGCATCAATCTGATAATGAAAAAAGGATGTTATATAATTTATAGAGTATTTCATTTGTAGACTATTAGATCATGCAGAAGGTATACAAAATTTTGAAAACTTGCTTAGAGGATAGGATTGTTGCCAAAGTGAAATTTTACACTGAAGATTTTATTGGCCACCCTTCACATTTATTTAGCTTTAGATCATCCCCACCCTTAAAGAGTTTACAGCCTGCCTGAAAAAATAGACAAGAAAAAAAAAAAAAAAGACAGGAGAGCTTAAAAAGTGCTAATCATTGAGTATGCACAGAATGTTACGGGACAACAGAGGAGCTTGAGTGCCAGGGAAGTATTCCCAGAGTAGATGATGTCTAGCTTGAATCCTGAAGCCTAATGAAAGGTCTAGCCCAGGCAAGCCCGATGAGGGACAGGGCCATCCAGAGTCATGATGTGCAAAGGCCTTGAGGCAAGAGCAAGTTTCATGTGTTTGGAAAACTGCAGTAGGTCAGGAGAATCCAAGTAGGAGGTACAAGAAGTAGTGATAGCAGGTCAGGCTGGAGAGGAAATCAAGGGTCCAAAATCTCTTGACTTTGTAAAAAAAAAAAATTTTGAACTTAAATTTGGAAGCAATAGAGAGCTGTAATGTATTAACCATTTTGTGTGTGTGTTACAAAAGTTACTTTGACCTCAGTATAGAGATGAGATTGGGTGAGGGGCATTGGGGGCAGATTAGACGTGGGAGACCCATTGGGAGTTGTCCAGGTGGAAGGTTGCCTAAAATTAAGTACCAAGAATGGGGGAAGAAGACGGGTTGGAGATTGAGAGATATGGTGCAGTTAGAATTGATAGGATTTGAATTTTCATTGGGAGTGTATAGAAAAAGAGCAGGAGAAATCAAGAATCACCAAGCTTTCATTCTGAGACAATGAGTAAATGGTGATGATATTCATAAATTTAGGAAACACAAGAGGAGGTTTTCAGAGGAAAATTTTGGCCATGTTGAATTTGAATTTCTTGTGAGACAAGAAATTATGGTCCAAGAGATCCACATAGACAGTTGGAGAAAAAGCCTAGTACTGAGAGAGGGATCCCAGCTGGAGGGAGAGATTTGGAGATTAAAAGCATGTGTATGAAAGAGAACACCCAGAAATATGTCATGGCATGGAAGTGAAGAACACCAGGGAAAAAACTCTGGAAAATAGAAATTTAAGGGAGAAGAGACAATATGAAACAGAAAAGAAGGCAAGAATCATAGAAAGATAAACGGTAGAAAATGATAATGCAGATGCCAAAGAATTCGTTCCAAGAAGGAAGGAATAGTTGTGGGTATCAAGTGTTTTGCAGAGAAGGTTGATAAGGACTGAAAATGTTTATTAGATTTAGCAAGAAGGAGACTGTTGATGTGCCTTTATCGATGGTGGCCTGGCACCAAAGAAGCCAGACTGCAAAGGGTTGAGGAATTAATAAGAGATGTAAGGAATGAGTATTTCCTATTCTTCCAAGAATCTTGGCTGTAACAGGAAGAGAAAGGAAAATAGCCAGGGAGGTGTCTAAAGTATCTTATTGGCCGGGCGCGGTGGCTCATGCCTGTAATCCTAGCACTCTGGGAGGCCGAGGCGGGCGGATTGTTTGAGCTCAGGAGTTCGAAACCAGCCTGAGCAAGAGTGAGACCCCGTCTCTACTAAAATTAGAAAGAAATTAATTGGACAACTAAAAATATATATAGAAAAAATTAGCCGGGCATAGTGGCGCATGCCTGTAGTCCCAGCTACTCGGGAGGCTGAGGCAGTAGGATTGCTTGAGCCCAGGAGTTTGAGGTTGCTGTGAGCTAGGCTAATGCCATAGCACTCACTCTAGCCAGGGCAACGGAGTGAGATTGTGTCTCAAAAAATAAATAAATAAATAAATAAAGTATCTTATTATTTTTTGAGATAAGAAGAGTAATTTTTTTTTTTTTTTTGAGACAGAATCTCACTCTGTTGCCCTGGCTAGAGTGCCGTGGGGTCAGCGTAGCTCACAGCAACCTCAAACTCCTGGGCTCAAGTGATCCTACTGCCCCAGCCTCCCGAGTAGCTGGGACCACAGGCATGTGCCACCATGCCTGGCCAATCCCTTCTATATATTTTTAGTTGGCCCATCAATTTCCTTCCAATTTTTTCAGTAGAGGCGGGGTCTCGCTCCTGCTCAGGCTGGTCTCGAACTCCTGAGCTCAAACAATCTGCCCGCCTTGGCCTCCCAGAGAGCTAGGATGACAGGCGTGAGCCACCACGCCCGGCCAGAAGAAGAGTAACTTTAATACAAATTGGATGGAATTAGTAAAAAGAAAATGTCGAAGCAAAAGAAAAAAGTATAACTTCTGGATAAAGATTCCAAGGAAGTGAGATGGGTAGAATTCTGAATGATAATACTGACCTGGTATCACTTTTGCTATTTAACGATATTTTGGATTTTCAGTCAATAGTTAGTCTTTTGGTATGAATACTTTGTTTTTGTCATTAAATTAGGACTGACATCTATGGCAATGACACGGAGTGAGAGTAACAGGCTAATATGCAATAAACTTAGATTTTCCTAACATCATATAACCTTTGTAAATCTTATCCAACCCATCCGTAAAAAGGGAATTAAATCATACTTAACATTTAGAATTGTTTTGGGTTATTCTATAAATATATACATGTGAGGCTGTTAATGTTTCTGCTTAACATATAGTAATGGCTTAATAGCTATGACATTAAGGATCATAAAATCTACTTGTACTGAGAGAGACAAACTACAGTGGATATATTAATACCAGTTCTCATGATACAAGATAGAGAGGGGAAATAAAGGAGAGGACAGAGTATACCATTCTATTTGCTAGTCTCTTCTTTGCCTGGTGTCCACTTGGCAATTTATATTTGTCTCTGTGTTTTCAAGATTTTAGTGATCAACTCCAGCATATAACAGTGATATTGCGAATACTTAGGGAAACCATAGTTGATGCCACTAACTCTCTGTTGGGACATTTTATAGGACGCATAGTGAAGAGTTCTCAGAAGAGCACATAGGGAAGCCCTGTCTGAATGATGGTCGAGAGAGAAAATATATTTCAAGTGTGATTTTTAAAACTGTATGTGTTTCTACAGGAAAGTGGGCATCTATTTCGCAAAGAACCAATTCTGAGAGTGTCATGGTAAAGTCAAAAGAAAATGACATTGGTTGTTCTATTTCCTGGTCATTTCAAGATCAAGGTGAGGGTAGGGGTGGATTTTCATGTAATGAAATGCCAATTTAGTGTGGTTCAGAAGCACTTTTTGTCACTCTTCCAGTGGTTATGCCAAGTGTATTTAGATATAGAATATGCTAATAGAGATCCATCCCTGGAGATAAGTGACTTGGAGTGAAAGGAGTAGATGGAAAATTTTTTTTAAGGAAAAAATTTTCAAGCAAATATAAGACAAAGAGCTCTAGCAAATTATGATGTAGATATGACAGGTTAAGTGGGAAAAACATTCTCGCTAAGCATTGGGAATTAATGCTGTTCTAATAGATGCTGCCCTAACGTGAAGTCAGAAAACAGGGGTGAGCTTGCTTACCTAGCTGAGAGAGATCAATTTAGAAAGACAATCAGAAGGGCTAATAGAAATACCAGAGGTCTAGTCTCTGAATGCTCTAATCAAATGTGCATAAGTATCTCAACAACTCCATTCATCTCACTCTTCTGTAGCAATTACTGAAAGATTGCTTACTCAGCAGGGCTGCTATAAATTTCCTGGTAATAAAGCCAGAAGAGAGAAAGTTACAAACCTGCCTTCTCATCATTGGAGTTGTAGAATGGCGATATGTTATAGTGAAAGATATACTGAAAAGCAACTCAGAGAAATAAAAAACAAGGGGCTTGAAGGAAGGATGCATTTGCACTTAAAACTCAGTTTGTCTTGTATGATGTCAAGAAGGACAGCGTATCTGGATAAACAACAGATGGATGGGGAAAGGTTTCAAAAATATTACTTCTTATAGAATCTAAAAGACTGTTTAGACCATCTTTTTTCATTTTTTAGTGACTGAGACCCTCCAAGCAAACCATTGTGGTAGCAGACAACTTCTAGGTAAAATGATTTTATTTTCTAGAGTAAGGCAACCTAAATTCAAACTAAATTTAGGTTACCAAAAGAAAGTTGGTATGAAAAGAAGGAACTGTTCAATTTAATTAATTATTTTAGGCTAAATGTTTTAATCCCCATAATGACAAAATTACCCTGATAATCCATTTTTTTTCAGTTTTTATGTTGAGAGTCTTATGTAGTTTGAATTTTATTTTTTGATTTTTTGTGAATATTCACACTTTATTATTTTTTCTGTGTCACTTCTGTGTTTCTCATAATAAGTAGTGCCCTGAATTTTAGGTTTGATCCGGACTGTGTAGAGTAGAGCTGTTATATCTCCTCCTCCTCCTTTTAACTATGTATTTTCATGCACTAGACAAAGATTTCCTTTCTTCAAATTGCAATTTCAGACCAAGTGTGTGAGCTTCCTGGTATGTAGTTTGAATTGTAATGAAATATAAAGATGACATTTTTGTCAATGGAACTTAAAGAATAAGCTTTTCTACTATATTCTTTTCACCCAGAATTCTGACTTTACCAACTGTTACAAACAAGATTAACAGATAGGTTTGGGACTAGAGTAAATATGGAAATTAGAAGAGAAATCAGAATTCCTAAGGTTATAAAGAAGAAAATCGAACAAGATTTAGTTCCATTTGTCAAACTGATTAAGATTTTGTCTCTTAGGCACTATACAATAAAACACAAAACAAAACTTCACTAAAATACAAGTATTAACACAGACTATTTCTTTTTTTAAAGCCACTTCGAGTTTAAAGAACTGCTATTGAGAACAGAGAATAGACATTTTCTAGTTTTTAGAGAAAGCCAGAGTGGGCTCAGTAGAAATTATGAAAGGAATATCACGGCTTCCTTTCTAGAAGAATGTCCTCATAAATGAAGCTATCCGGCAGCAAAATAGGCCATTTCTACCTCTAGGAGAAAATATATTGACTACAGGAATTTAAATGGAGGCTGAATAACCTCTGAAAGGAATTTACTGAGTAAGAAATTATGCTAGATGATCTTTATAGTTTTCTTCCAACATTCATACTTTTGTGATTTTATTTTTTTACTAAGTTGTTGCGTATTTTCAAATGCGATGTAATGGAAACCAGGTTTTGTTAATTTCATGGTTAATAAATGAACAAAAATCCATTGAAATTCTTCACTTATAGAAAAGCACTTCTAATTGGCACTAGATCATTACTTAGCCTTAGTATTGACCTTTACATTATAATTAACTTATTTTTCTGTAAAGACACACAAAGCGATGGGCCAAAGTGGATCGTAAATGCTCCTTCCCTGACACACGACAAAATAAACCATAGTAAAATTTAGTCAAAAGACCTCAGCGGCCACCAGCAGAGTGGGAAAGGGATACAACTTAATGTCATCTATTTCAAAAAGAGGTGAGCAAAGGAAGAAAATATTTTGGCACAGCATGGAGCAGTTCCTAACCTTGCCTCTTATTCTAGAAATGGAACGGACAAGACAACAAAATTCTTAACATTGTCTCTAATACCTCCAAATTAGCAGTAAAGTGAAATGAAGTGTTGCCCTTATCTTTTGATTCTTCTATATAATTGAAATCATTGCTGGAGAGTAACAGGTCAAATGGAGGATGTGAACAAAGGGGCTGTCTCTGAAAAAGACCAACAAAACATCTCCCCAAAGATTAGGACAGTTACTGACTTGTGAAGGAAATCCTAGTATAAGACACTTGACAAAATCT